AAAAAACCAAGCGTCGCCGTTACTTATCAACTTATCAGCTTTCATACATATCTTTTTGCACATTGACGTGATATCGCGCCAGTTAAATACTAATTAAAAATGACAAGTTGTGGCAAATGCAAATCCTCTAAAAAGGATGGTCTGATCGGATGTGAAGGAACGTGTAAGAAGTGGTTTCACTATTCCTGTTTAAACTTTTCAGAATCTGAATTTAAATTACTAGAAAAATTGCAATGTGAAATTGTGGATAAAAAAGTCCTTAGTAATGTTAATGAAAATTTACAATCATTAAAAATTATGTTATTGCATTGAACGGTAAAATATCAGATTCTTCAACATATCAATCAACACGGTTTAGTAATGAAGTAGAAGAGCTGAAAGCTCAGTTCCAAGAGTTAAAATCATTGGTGACAAATAATTCTGTTGTTAATTCAAGTGAAGGTGCTCCTAAAAAAAATGATGTATTTGCTTTAAAAAATACATCTTCTATAATGTTGCAGCCTAAAATTAAAATGTTTCTACAACTAAAATGGATGTTTTGCAAGCCGTCGATCCTATTAAATCGGCCGTTGCGGTATCTAATACAAAATCGGGATTTAATGGCAGCCTTATTATAAAATGTCCGAATAAAGAAGATGTAACTAAGATAGCTGATATAGCAAAAGATAAATTAAGCGAAAAATATGTTGTAAAAGAGTTACCAAACCTTAAACCAAGAATCAAAGTTGTTGGTATTACAGGGGAAGAACTGCTTAAGGATAACATGGTTGCCAACTATATAGTGACTCAGTCTTTGTTTGCGGGTGCTCCTGCGTGTGATGTCATAAATTATGCACCTTTGAAGAAGAATGGTAACGGGAAAACTAAGCGTTACGTGGCAATAATTCAAATTGATAACATAGCTTACAACAATATTTTAAATAATGGATTCTTCATGCCTGGACTTGATTACTGTACTGTATATGATGCAGTCGAATTAAGAAGATGCTTTAATTGTTGCGGTTTTCATCATTATTCTAATGTGAAATTCTGAAATGCATTAATTGTGTTTTATCAAATTCTAAAAACAATGAAAAGTTTTCTACTGATCATGCTGCTTGGGATCTGGGTGGATGTCAAACGTATATTAGAGCCAAGTCTGAACTTAAGCGAAATATTTTAGATATTCAATAACAATCAACTACAAAAAAATCTCATTCGAAAATTTTAAGTACATATAATATACATATTATCAAAAAGTACGTGGAGTGAATACGAAAACTAATGAAATTTATCTTAACACAAATTCTATGTTAGAACATAATTAATATATTTTGTTTAACTGAGACTTGGTTAAGCTCTAATATAAATAGCGGTGAACTGTTTGACGAGAATTTCTTTAATGTATATCGTTCTGATCGTAATTTTTGCTTAACGTCTACAGTCAGAGGTGGTGGCGTTCTTGTTGCCATCCAAAAAGAATTGCATTCAACTGAAATCAAAATATCTTCTTTCGGTGCTGTTTTTGGAGATCTCGTACATATAGACACTCTGGTTGTTAAATGTAAAATCAATTCTAAATTTTGTCTTTACATTATTGTAGTATATATTCCGCCGAAATGTCCTGCTGATGAATATATTTCATTTTGTGATTCTGTCATGGCACTTCATTGTTTATATGATTCAAAACTCATTGTCCTAGGAGATTTCAATGTTCCCGAATTCTGGGAACAATCAAAGAGAGAGAATGAAAGCCTCAGCAACAAAGTTCAAAATCTTAATATATTTTCTGCTTTTTTTGAGCTACAACAAAATAATAATGTTCTGAATGTTGATAGTCGCTTGTTAGATTTGGTATATTAAATGGAGATAACATTTCCAATTATTATTGAAAAATCTAATATATCGGTATGTGATAATAGATTTGAGTACAATTTTAAAAACCAGATTTGAGATATTTGTACAGTGAAATATTGAAAACTAATTTTCAAGATTTAGAGCAAGTTCAGGATGTAAAAACTGCAGTTGATTTATTGTACTACAAGTTATTGCAGATTTTTGAAAAATGTGTACCTGTCAAACAAACATCACTAGGTAATTTTCCTCCATGGTATAATAAAAATATTATTTACATGATTAACAAAAAATATAAGCTTCATACACAGCTGTTCAAAGTACTCAACTAAAGTACTTGAAGTACAAAGTACTTCTTGAAATAGTGTTCAAGTAAAGTACCAAGTACTTACTTATACTGAAAGTACTTCAAGTCTCAAGTACTTGCATATATTTGAAATACTGAAAATAATTCAAGTATTTGAACATACTTGAAATGCTGAAAATACTTCAAGTAACCTACCTAATAATTTGAAATACTGCAGATTAACATAGCTTTTTTGTTTCCTAAATAAGCTTAATGCATTTTTAAGTTGACATTGAAAAACAAACTATTAATTTATAACAAAAACATCGGCGCTATATGGTATTTTCTCAGGTTTCTGTTGCCTTTTTTTAATACTTTGAATTTTGGTTCACCACCAAAACGTTCTGGTTTTTTAATAAAGTTGTGTTAAAAATATATGAATTTTATGGACCGGTTCCGTGTTTAAGTTTGTGGGTAGTTTACAGCACCCCTAATCATTGGGCATTGTGAAAGTGCACAGGGCCGGATTTGTGAAACTGAAATTTTTCAGAACAAAATTTTAAGAGCAGTGCGATACATATACATGTTCGTCACATAAAAATGTTTATGACACTATGTTGCATTTTCAAAAAAAACGTATGAATTTTTGAAATAAAAAATTAAATGTCTAAAACGAGAGTCCATATTTTCAGCGAAAACTATACCTCTTGAAAAATATCAAGGTGATCAAAGTAATTAGTCGTTTTTTACTTTTCCGTTTACCAAAAATGCTGAGAATTTTCTTGGAATGAATGCCCGATATTCCTGAATATATCTGTCTACCACTTACGTATTTACTATTCTAAAAACTATTAAATTAGCCTAAATACTACACTAACCAAATAGTAAACACTAATCACTACAATGTTTGTCTATCTAAGTATGTAACTTTACACTGACAAATTACAAATAATAGGTTCGTAAGGCTGTTCCGTCCATTTATACAAAATTTTGTTCCTCTAATGCCGCAATACTTTCCAGAATTTTTCTTTACATTTTCGATTGGCTTATTTTTTATTTTTACCTGAAAACCCAAAGAAGATGACATTAGTAACTAACACAATGACTTCAGGGAATGCCTAACAACGGCTTTTGCGAAAATTCAGCTAAATATGTACTAAATTTATTATTGTTAAAATATTTCCTAGAGGTGTATTTATCCAGGCAATTATACTAACTAATCGCGAATTTCATTAACTTTGTATTTTTTTGTAATGTGAATATGTATTTTGTTCCATTTCCGGAAGCGGCCACTGACCCTTTTGGGTCTCTCTACCTGCTATTGTAAATAGAAATGTAAATTCAGTACTTCTGTAACCGTCTTGTATTTAAACATCGAAACCGAACGCTGTCTATTATTTCGCACACAACAAAACAACGGTCCTTCGAGCAATATCAAAGTACAATTCGGTACTCATCAAAACCATACAATCATGGTCGTATCAACTGGATTAAAAAAACATTGGTACCACGAGCCGAGTTGCACAAAACATATTTCATTTTGAACAATATTGGGTTTATGTAATAAGCGATGCAATGTAATACGTAAAGTTGTACGGTAATAAATAAATTCCATGACACTAATTAGTGTGCCTTTAAAATCATTGTTTTTCTGCATTACGTCTTTTTAAATTGTTGGTGTTCAAATAATACATACAATTTAACAGATTATTTGAAACTGTAATAGCAAACTAAGTTTATATGGCTGAATCATGTATAAACAAAAAAAGAGAATTTGGTAATAAACGAGTGTCTAACGATAAAGAAAATTAAACTGCAAAATATAAATACATAAAATTGTGTTTAAATTCTAGGAGGAAGAGGCGAATATGAAAGTCTGTACCTGCCATCAGCTATTGCTATTGTCATAAAAGGGATAATCCCCTGCCGAGTTCTCCGCCTTGACCAGGCTTCTTACTGACAGACAAATACACGGCGGGGCTAACAAACTAATGAAAGAATAAATATCTTTTTGAACGAGTACTGAATCATTTCTCAAATATTTTCAAATCCGACTTTGTACTTTAGCAGGTAGCAGGTACGTCAACAAACCCGATCCCCTTTGGGATACTGCGAAGGTACTGAAAAACTACCCGCAAAGTTAAGTTCCAGACCAAAATACAAAAAAGACAAAATTCATATATTCACAACTTTACATTGCTGAAAATTTTACACAAATCTCCGACCCTTCTGCTGTCGTCATCCACTCTCAAATGACATATTTATGAAATTATGACATTAATTTTCTTACCTACCTATCTGCATTATGCAAGTACCTATGAAATATACGTCGTATTCTGGATAGGATATCCACAATCACAGATCAAAATATAACCTCACAGGAAACAAACAGGATTTTACTATAAAAATACATCTAATCAAATAATTGAATTAATAACTTCAAGTATTTAACAGACCCTATTTTGAGATGTGAAAACTTCGTAAAATAGAGACTGAAGTATTTGAAGTTTCCACTTTCATACTTCAAGTACTTCAAGAGTATTTAAAATACTGAGCGAAGTACTTGGCAAAATCAAGTACTAAACTCAAGTACATTTTAGAAATACTCCAAGTACCAACGCTAACGGGTTCAGTTCAATTTATGGTTCCGTGTTATTGTTTACGATTAAAAAAATAATAATTAAAAAAAAAACACCCCCTTCTGATGTGTGCATGTTACGCTACTGATTGACAGTCCGTTGTCAGATTCTGATGACTCACCATGTTCAACTTAAAATGATCCATATCTGTTTTTCTAAACTTTAATTTTGGGACATTTCCTGAAGTCTACAAATTTATAAAAAAATCTCACGTTATAGACTTCAAATGATTGAAACTCTCATTATATATAAAATTTTATTTAAATGGTCATTGAATAGTATATTGCGAAACTTAAACTAACACAATTCTACGTCAAAGCGACTGCTTAAACTTCATAACCACGCCGTCTTCTTCGTAAATCCCCGGATTCAAATAACAATTTCGGAATGCTATATTGAGAAACGTGGAAGTCTGGCGCGTCATCTTTTCCGAAATTCGACTCTTAAGGCCCCTTTCCACCATTTTCAACATAGATTCGACATCGATTTTGTCAGAATTTTCCATAAAAACTTTACAGATCAGTTCGATGTACCAGCATCCACGGACTGTATCTCTGTGGGCCTGAAAACCTATCACAAAAAAAAAAAATTGTTTAAATCTAATAATAAAAATTATGTACCTTCAACAGACGGATGGCAAATTATCAAATCACTATAATAACGCTCGTCTTTGTCCTCAATGTCAGGCTTTTTGGTACACGCTGAATCACATTGGGTGTGTTGAGCAAATTGGGCTAAATTATCAACTAATTCTCCCCTACAAATATTAAAAATTAAAATTTTCGGCTTATTTCTGAAGAGAGCGCAGGTCTGGTTATTGAACTGTCGAATAATCCATTCCTCTTCGACTCCTTTACCATCGCTGCCAATGATAACTGTTTTGTTATCAATTTTTTCGCCATGGCTCATTATTATCACAATGCCTACGTCAGGATTATTTTCATATTCTTTTTGAGAAAACTTCTCAGTAACACTTTTAATCTCCTACAACAGTAAATTAATATCATACTTTGAAAAAAAAAAAACTAGGAATTACCTCTCCAGGTAAATTCCTGTATATCTCTATTGAAAAGCCTATCTTTTCAAACAATTCTTTTAAATTGTTTTCATCTACTTCTGCCCCTCTTCTCATTTGGTGGCTATCCATATCAAACAAAATATTATTAATAATGAGAACTTGTCCCCTATTTTTCGACCTAGTTCTATAACAATCTTCCATATCACAAAAGTTCGTTGCATATTTAACCTCGATGTTAAGCTGTTCTGCCGGCACGTAAGTATGTAAGGGTTCGTCATATTTATCGGGAAGTTTAACGCAAGATGTAATATGTGGCGGACGCTTAACAACAGGTTTATTTTGGAGTTTATCAGCCACATGTTCATACTTGTATTCGCGAAGAGTATCAACAAAATCATCAAACACGCTGGATGAGTTAACCTTAAGGAGTTGAAAAAGAAAGCAACGGTTGTTGTGGCGACGGTCCTGCTCCTATTAAGTAATTAAATAATACTTAATTAATTTTAAGGCTATTTGTAATAAAAGAAACGGCAATCTTATGAATCATCACAATTTCACTAAAATTAGCTAACTATATACTTACAATTTTTACATTATCCATGACTTTTGTAACCGAGGGATCTTTAATGGAGAGACTCTGCATAACTTGTTCTAAATCACAGTCTTTGACTAAACTGACAAAGTTTTTGTAAATCAGACTTTCTTGTTCTGGCAGCATTTTTTCTATTTAAAATAATACATTTATGGACGAAATGGCACTTGCGGGTAGTCTCCAGAAATGGAAGTTGGTCGTAAGCACATATTGTTGCGACAATGGATATCAAAACAATAAACATAACCTCTGCGATGAAAGCATGGGCAACAGCGCCATCCATTCAAACAACACTAAATGACGTGCCGAAATCTGCATTACCAACACGGGACAACGTAAATGTCACATAAGTCAATCAATACAGCGGCGACTCGTTTCAAACACAAAATTCGTAAAAATGACTTTATTTTAATTAAAGTAAGTAATAATAATTGCACTTAATTATTGCACGGAATGTTAATTGCACATTAACCTTCCTATTTATCTTCAAAATGCATCATTTTCCCGTTGTCTTCGTACACCCCAGGGTGTAAGTAACACTTCTTAAACCCAATATTCTGGAAAGTGGAAGTTTGTTGAGTGCTTTGCCCTTCGCCACTCATTTCCCAAGGCATGGAAGACACAATTTCCAACTCCTCATCTACTTTCCGCAACAAAGATTCCATATCCATGTCATGAGCATTCTCCATAAATACTTTACACAAGAGCTGAATGTACCAAGATCCCTTAATACTGTTCCTATGCGCTGAGTATCCTTTAACGGACGGATGACAAATCAACATATCACTATATGTTCGTTGTGCCTGCTTCAAAATTGCATCAGTCATGGTCTCTTGAGTCACAGGCTCGGTAAAAACCGTCCTACAAATATGGTAAATAAAAATTTTCGGCTTCTTCTTAAATAGAGGGCAATTTTCGTTATTAAACATGGCCCTGAAATCATCTTCAGGGACGCATTTATTATCGCTACTGACAATCATAGCTTCGTTGTTAATCACCATGCCGTGACTCATAATTATCACAATTCCTATGTCTGGTTTAGTTAGAGGTACATTATGAGCAAATTCTTTTGTCTGGTAATACATGTCATGAGCAGTGAGATTTGTGTGGGAAAAAACGGAAAGACCCATTTTCTCAAAAAGTTCCCTGAGATTACGCTCGTCGGTGTCCGCCCCGTGTCTTTCATCATGTCCCTGAGAAAACTTGATGTTGTTGATTATGAGAACGTGGCCCCGATTTTTTGATCGGGTTGTATAGAATCCGGTCTTATTGTATTTGGCCACATCGTAAAACTGGGTGGAGAATTTCACGTCGACGTTGACGTCAAGGGGGTGCAGATCATTATCTGTTCATTAAATCAGAAAAATTAATAGTTGTGAGAGAATAAACGAGGACTTACTTTTAATTATTGTTTCTAGCCGGTTTTCAAGGGCATTTGCAAGGTGAGTGAATTTGGTGCGTCTTAAACCTTCGATTAGTCCAGGAAAAGCGTTATATTTCTCCAGTCTGAGTAATTTAAAGAGAATTTGACGATTTTTGTGAAAAGTGTCATCTTCCTAAAAATATGTAAATTAGAGAGTGTTTCCGTAATTTCAATCACTTACAAATGCCACTTCGTCTAAGAATTCACTGTTTAAATCGCCTTTTTTTATAAGATATTCTAAAACGTGTTCCAAATCGCATTCCTGAACTAGCTGCGGAAAGTATTTGTAAATCAAGTCTTTTTGTTCCGGGAGCATTGAGCAAGTGACAATAACCAGAAAAACAGTTATTTAGTTAAAATGAACACAAATTAGTAAAAATAAACACAACTACAATAAAAATACCGGTTTACAAAAACATAACCTAAAATTGTGAATGACACATTGACACATAGCAGAACAGAAGTGGGTGGGGATAGACCGACATAATGCGGTTTCCTCTGATAAATCAAAGCTAAAATTATCTTTAAATACGGAAATACAGTTACACAATAACAATCAGCTTGATATTCGCATGCCATTTAAAATTTATTGCTGCAGTTGATGTTTTATTAAAGGTTGTACAAAATATCTAAAAAAATATTGTTCCTGTGTCAAAGTTGGCGGTTTCCAAATTGTCATCTGTCAACGAACATAACCTAACTCTGATAGGTAATAAGATCAACACGCTTTAAATTTTCACGTATGAGTTTGAAAATCAAAAAGCACCGTTTTCGCGATATATTTAATTTTGCATGAGTAGTTTACGATCAGTACTGACTGATTCATGTCGGCAACATAACCTCAAATATCATACACTTGAGTGCTTCTTCCTTCCTTCCCTTGAAAAATATTTATAATGAAAAGGTGTCAATCCCCTTAAGCCCTATAATCCGAGATTACCAAAAGAAAACAAATCAATACAGTTTGGTTTTTGCGTATGCGCAGGCGCGCCATGGTACTGGACAAAACATCAATTTGACACAAGAATCGGTGTAAATTCAGATCTAAATAGAATCATTAAAAATAGAATTGTCCCAACCTCTGCGTTTCTAATTAAAATGTGTAGAAGCGTCGCTATTAAATCGCCCAAATTTACAAAATGTACGTACGTCAAGTTTTCTAATACGTAAATTGACTTCACCACTATTTTTAAATATCAAAAACTAGTCTCTTTAAATCGAAATAATGGGCTCGCCGTCGATTCAAGCTTTACTAGTCACAGCAAACGTGGGATCGATTTTTGAAGACGTAAGTTATTCAAGACGTGCCGTTTTTTGGTGCTAACACTTTTTCGTAGCCTTCAGAAATGCTCAAGATTTGGACCGAAGAATTCCTTTCAACCGTCGCTCGATTAGATCCGAAATTCATCGCTTTACACTGTCAGGAAGTCGGCGGGAAGAACTACGAAAACAGCATGAAACATGTTGAGCATTTTGTCAAGTTACTCATGTCTAGTAATGAATTGAGGCTCTTTGATAAAATTAGGGTGTTTTTGGACGAAGATTACAGCTCAGCTGAAAATTTTACCGTCGGTATCCAAATTCTCGCACTTTTTGTTGTAAACTTGAAATTTTAGGCTTTGGGTAATCTCTACTTTATTCACGAATCAATTGAAAATGTACAAATTTGGGATTTTAACGACACGAAATTTACGCCAGTTCATGGTGAAGAAATCTACTCAGGTAACATCGAGGCTGTGGTGTTTAAAGAAAAAGCAAAGTTCCCGCAGGACTTTTTCCCTGAGGTGAGTCGCAACTCGTTGCTCCCCCTTACATGTCCTAACCTCACTTTGCAGTGTAAATGGTCCAGAAAAGGTTTTATGCGGACCCGCTGGTCTCTCAACGGATCCGTTTTGGATTTAATTAATATTCATTTATTTCATGACGCGTCAAATTTTATTGCCATGGAGTCTTATCCTTCCGTGTATTGCAAGAATCGTCGTCGAGCCCTCGAACACACTTTGCAAAGATTTCATAACGATCGGTACGGAAAAGCGCCGTATTTCGTTTTTGGGGATTTTAATTTTAGGACGGATACCGAAAGCGTTATTAAAGTGAGTCGTTTCACCTCATTTTCGTCATACAACATCAATTTGTAGAAACTGACGGAAGGGCTGACCACCACCAGACTACAAAATAACAAAAATAATGATCACACAAAACTCCAGTTCGCTAACGAGGAGAGCGAATTAGTTCTTACAGTTGGGAAAAAAGAATTCAACCATTTGGACCACCAGAAGGTGTTTCTGACGCCGTCACCCACATGGGTAATTTGAATTTTTAAAGCGCCCTCTACTGACTGACTTGATTGGTTGCGAACGTCACAGTTGGGTGTGGCATAATTATTCCCTTGAGCGTATTCGTTAATGTTACGTCACAAAATGGGCGTGCCAATCATTTTGTTTTACATTTGGTAAAGTTCTGATGGATGTTCGTTTTCAGTTAAAAAGTTTTGACAAGGAGCTGGAAGCCTTTGACAAATACCTCACAGAATATTCAATTTCCTTCCCTCCATCGTACCCCTTTGAGGAAAAAATTTCTCACGCAAGAAGCTACATGCAGACAAGATGTCCAGCGTGGTGCGATCGAGTTTTATTAAGTCACACTGCCAAACAGTTGGTGAATGAAGAGGAGAGAGTGGAGTATGGGCTCATGGGTTTGGATACCTGCATGGGGGATCATAAGGTATGGTAAAATCGAATATTTAATTTGGAAAAAGTTAGGGTTGTTCTCGTATGATTTCCACTTTTTTCTTTGTCATTTGTGCAGCCAGTTTTTCTGGATTTTCACATATTGGTAACCGAATAAGGTATTTCATTCTGCCTTGTGTTTGTTTGGTAGTTAGGAATTGTGATTCAGTAGACCAACTCAGGTAGACTCAGCGCCAAATCTCGTCCAATCCGATTCAACTGCGGCGGCGGGGGCGACATCCACACGTCATTATTATTATTAACAATAATTAATAATTACCAAAAAAAAAAAACAATAATGGTTGATTGTATATTTATAAAGAGTTTAACACATTTGCAACAAAATTTGGTTCGATACTTGATAGTTGTGCATCACAGTGGCGGCCCTCGCCCCGCCCACCGTCGCTCCGCCCCCTCGCTGGCTTACAGGCCGGCTAACCAACCTTCCGTTTCTCATGTAATAAAACGTTCTCCTTGCAGCCGGTTTACCTCCGTCTGGAGCTGAAACCCAACACAGGTACGCTAAAATGTTGCGAGCACGCACGTTACGAATGCTTGCCTGCTACTTGCCAGTGTTGCCAGACTTTCGCTTCCGTAACCATAAAAGTAGTAGATATGAGCGATTATAGCCGAAGCAGTTACACGAACGTGGCGATCGATTCAAAATTGCTACACGAGCCGATCACGAGGGAGATGCTCTCGCACGAACCGTACACACCGGAAAGTGCCGAGTCGCGTTCGCCGGCGCCGGACAGAACCGAACCGAAGAACGAGTCGGTTTCGGCGGCTCAGCTCAAGAGCCGCCTGGAGTACATTCTGAGTCTCGAACGGAAGTTCCCGATGACGAGGTCGGTGTCGGCGAACGTGGACGTGAGAGCATCGAACGAGAATTTTTTTCGGAGTCGGGCCATGTCCGAGGTGCCGAAAATCAAGAAGATGAGGCTGATTGCGACGGACAGCGGAGGGTCGATACACAGGCTGCAGAGCCACCACAGTTCTTCGGACGAGGAGTGGTACGAGTATGAGGATGAAAGTAAGAGTAAGTGCAGCGAGGTGGAGTCTGATGGTAAATCGGACGTTATCGAAGAGATTCGGTTGGAGAAAAACGGGAAAAACGACAAGTTCAAGAGGCGGAACAAATTGAGTTGTTGTAGTGTAATGTAGAAGTAGCTCGTGGCTGTTTTTATTTTAATTTTTTTTTTAATTTAGTGCTTGTGTTTTTTGAAGAGTGCACGCTTTTGTTGTTTCTTCCGTAGATGTTGCTCAATTGTTGATGATGTTATTAACACTGTTGTTTTTGAAACAGGCCTGGCCTTAAGTGCGACGAATAGTGTAAAAATAAAGGACACTAAAGTGACGAAAGTTCAAGATAAAGTGGATCCATGCACGAGGTACATTTACATTCAAAACATTGATAATCCCGTCAAGATATTTAGGGAAACCGCCGTTTAAAAATAAGGAAAACGCAAAAAAAAGAAGTGGTAAAGATGAGCTGCGACCAAAGTGTGCGATTTCTACGTTTGTGCGTGGCGGTAATCTCCGTTCGTGGGCTCATCTACACTTGTACCTCCCACTAGCGCTGCACGCAACAGCCACCATTTCCGTACTAGTTAAGAATAAGTATATGCCAAAACTTGCCAATATGTACGTATTTGGGTATTTTAAAAGACATCATCGTCACCTCATTAAGGGTACTTCACAGGTGTTTTCGAAATTCTTACGTTTACGTTATGTTAATGGCTGTGTCGGTAAACTGAATCTGTATTTCCCCTATGTAAGAGAGTATATATTTTTGGGTAGTCGACTCAGTTTTTAGTAAATGTGTGCAAATCGGTGTGAAAAATTGTATGTTGTAATGTTGGCCGATTTATGTACTTATATTAATACAAAGCCCTTAAAACAAAAAAAAAAAAACATTAAATGTACTAGTCACGAATACTTAAAAAAAGATTTATTTAATTTTTTTGTTTACAAATCACATTTTTTTTATACATAGTTATATATAAGTATAAAATTTTGGACAAATTGGAACCAAATATTTAACCTGTAACAGTTGAAGAAATATGCTAATGCATAAACGTAGGCATATTTTCATTTTTAGTCAGTCATTATAGTCATTTTTCAACGTTCATTATGTGTTACATACGTATGTTTTTCTTAAATTAATGTTGTAAATTGTTGTAACATTATAAACAAAAAAAAATATAAACATTTGAATGGTTTGTACATTTTCTCCATAAAACTGACGTATTTACACCATAATAAATAACAGACTAAAGAAAACCACGAACCTATTAAACATAAACAAAAAAACTCAGTCAAAATGAAAAGAGTAGCAAGCACCCATGTAAAGTTATTAATAAAACCTCTTCATCTTCTTCTCGTGATGTTTCTGATAGAACATTATGCCCAAAACCACGCAGGCTACTATTGCTATACTTCCAATAAGCATTAAAAGAAAAACTTTAACCCCAGAAAGCGAGGAGGGCTTTGGATCTTCAACGTGATCACGGGGGGGCTCGAAAAAAGTGGCCGAAGGGAGGATATTTGATCTGTCTTCATCAGCTTGAGGCTAAAACAAAAATGATTAGCAGAAGCACCCCCAATTGACGACAAATACATCATCAGGCAAATCCAACTCGAATAATCTCACTGACATAATGTCATGGTTATCTGACAAATCACCAGTGGTTGCTGACAACCCTAAGTAATAGCCAGTGGGTAGTTTCACCCCCTTAACTTGGAAACAATCTTTCCATGCCGCCTTATTCTCAATATCAGTCGAAACTAGAGCAAAAATTTCATAATATGAAAGTTACTAAGCAATACAATTATAAAAAAAAACCTGTCAGTACGTCTTTTTCATATCTAATAGCAATATGTGTATCGTAACCCAAATTCCTAAACCGTGCCTCACAACCAGCCAATTGAGTATGTGTGCCATCCCTATCATGGTCATAGTGAAGTGTTCCATTGTTCACCATACCCGAAATGTACGGATGTTGATGCTGCCATTATCCACACATCATTAAACGTCCCTACACACCCCAAAAACTTACGTTATGTGGTCCATTATGATTGCTATATGTATCTAGAATTATTGCTAACCCTTGGAAAAAATCATTATTTCCAAAAACAGGTCCATCTTTCATCCTCTCCTTGGCGTACCAAATCACAAACCCATCTCCAAAGAGGTCCTTGCCCTTGCCGTGCACCTTGAAATGTACTTGAAGCTCCCAGTTACGCACATTTACGGGCTTTAAATAGAAAAGTTAAAGGGCGAAGGTGAAGGGCATTCATTGACCTACCACAGAATTCCAAATGGCTCCTACTTTACTTTGGAGATCAGGCGTGAGTCGTATGTAGTTAGGAGTCACTATTGTGCTCCCCATGAATTGCCAGAATGGAATTTCTATACCCGAACCTGGAAAAAAACCGTATGGCGAAACGTAACCTCAAATTTTTACGCACCGTAATATGGCTTGATTAGACTGTGTTCCCGTTTCATGAAGTCTTTTGTGTTCCATTCAGCGTTTACGTAAATGGCGAAAAGGAAGAGAAAAGTGGAGAACTCGAAGAAAAGCATTTTCAATTCTAAGTTACTTATTTACCGGACTAGTAGTTGACGTATCCCAAAAATGACATTTTGGAAATGCTACCAACATTGCAGACCGGATACCGTATGGCACAAAAAAAACTGCTTTTTAAAATTCTATAATATCAAAAATTTCTTTATTATATAAACAGTAAAGTTGTAGTTTATAGTCATTTCATACATATTGAACTTACAGCTAAAAGCTTCGTCGTAACAAAAATAACTATATAAAAATGTTGTTAAAGTTTAGCGGTTGAACACGTCCTGTGGTCCTCGAAGGGTGAGCGTTAGTTTCAAATCATTACTTCTCAAGGTAACTCTATTTGCGTGCGCTGCACACAAATTACTATCTTCAAAGAGCAACACCAGGTACATTTCGGCAGCCTCTTGTAAAGCCTTAAGAGCAGCAGCTTGTATTCTAAATTCGTCACCACGGTTACATTGTCGTTGTATAATTTCGCGGATTAATCGAAAAAATGGTCGCTTTGGTATTAAGTGATTTACGCTCATTTGTAACCTTTTTATTTCTTGTAAGAGGCTCCTTCGCACACGACGCATCTTTGTACCGATCTGTATTAGTTTAGAGGAGGTTCTTCGTTTATGGCTGTCACTTTTTCGAGGGCTTTTCTTGAGGCGAACCATTTTACTACAAAATGATTAATTAAAGTCACACTTAAATAACTGTTTCAGTCCACATACAACTTAAAATATCCTTACACTTTGTAAACAAAAAATTATTAGAGAATCAAAAATGCGACCGTTACAATTACAAACAGGGGTACAAAAACATCAACAAAAATGAGATATACCGCCAAACATGCGCCAAACCGACGCGTCGTGTTCACGTTGTGTTTTTTAGGCATTGTAGTGGCAGAACTGCAGTTAAAAAGAGAGAGAGAGAGAATGTAATGTTGCTCGCCTTATCTCTGTTTGTTTTGGGTGTGTTGTCATATTATGTTGTGATAGTGTGTTATCAATGATTTAAAATCAAAATAATCCCAAGCTATGGGTTTTAGAGATAGGACTTATCTTTATCTTTTCTTTCTAATTATAGTTAGTGTTTTTGTGATAAGTGCAGGTAAATTTAGCCAATAAGAATTTTTGGTTAAGTAGGCGGGGTCGTGCATGTTATTAGTCATTTGTTTTTAATTATCAGCACCAATTTTCCTCATTTTCTCCGTTTCAGCATTTTTCCTAGTCCTCAGTCATAACAAAAATAGCAAAAGTTAGTATTAACCCGTCATCCATCATTAACATAACAAAATTGTGAAAACGCCCAGTGAGAAAAACCAATTTTAGGTCAAAACTTTTGGAAAACCACCCAGTTCGAAAATGAACCACCAGAAGACAAACGAATTAAAATTGTTTGGTGCACCATCAGCCGCCCCGAACAACGCAAATGCCGTAATTTTGCAATGGCTAATGAAAGAGACAAGATCAAAGTGGGTTATGACGCCTTCAAAATAGATTGCATCCAGGTACGTAGACTAAATTAGAACCAGCCCTTTGTAAAATTAATAACCACAGGCCTATGATAAAGAGGAATGTATGCGTCTACTTGATCAAGGCAATGCTACAATTACAACACTTGACGCTGGTGAGGTTTTTGTGGGGGGGCGCTATAACAGTTTGGTCCCTATATCTCAAGAAGTACTAGAAGGGGGCTCACAACACTACTATGCGGTTGCAGTTATTAAAAAAGACACTCTTCCAGAAGTACACAGTCTTTTTGATTTAAAAAGTACGAGAGCGTGCTTTGCAGGCGTTGAGAAATTTGCGGGATGGGTGGTCCCAATTTATACAGTATGTGTACTACAATAGTTACAAAAGTGTGGTAATTTTTGTATTTTAGTTGATGAATGAGGGCGGCATGGAGATTATTGATTGTAATAATCATGTGAAAACAGCAACAAAATATTTTGGGCCTTCTTGTGCCGTCAATTGTTTAACCGATAAGTACAACCCCATTGGGGATAATTCAGATAGGTTGTGCCAACTTTGTATAGGGAAGATACCAGGGGGGAGGTGTTCCAGTTCAGATCCGTATGCGGGGTATGAAGGAGCTTTTCGGTGTTTGGTAGAAGCAGGGGATATTGCGTTTTTGAAACATACTACTGTTGCGGAGCTGGTAGCACTGGATGAGTTTGGTAAGTTGAAAAGTTTGGTTTTTTTTTCATAACCATATTAACAGAATGTAGTGGAAGGTCTCTGTAAATTGAGTACAATATTTACTGACAATAAGATATATGTATTATATGTAGTAATATGTATATGACATAACGAGTGTTCACTTGAAAAAACTCATCAAGTTCGCATTGCTTTTTTGGTGGAAGAAAACGTAGCGAAAAATATGTTTAGTTTCAACATGTCAAAAAACAGAGAAATTTGTAACCCATTGTTTTCGTTCGTGTAATCGAGGATTTTATTTTGTATACTTCTGTGAAGTTAAAAGATGGTAATGTAATAACAATGTCTGTTCACGTATTAAAGATCCAGCAACACCGCAATTCACTTGGAAAAATATAGCAGGAATTTCGTAAAGTTTAATGAAATAATTTAAGAGAAAATATTAAATCTGTTTGATTGTAAATTGTAAACGAGTCCGTCGGCCGACTCTCTACTTTTACGTTTTCTCGACCTTTCATGACCCCTAGAGTACGAAGAAATAAGTCTTTTTCCGTTTGTCTGTCTGTCCGTCCGTCCGTCTGTCTGTCTGTCTGTCCGTCCGTCCGTCTGTCTGTCTGTCTGTCTGTCTGTCTGCCGTCACGGATTTTTATTAAACAAAGAATCTTCGAAAGTATTGGGTCAATATTAGAAATATCACGTAGATGGTAAAGCATTAACCAAAATTTGTTTAATCATCCTCACCAATAATGTGATGACGTTACTTCAAAATTGTACATAGTAAATGGATTTTAAATTGTATAAAATAACATAGTCCTACACATGTAGTTTATGACTCCGTGTTCATAACCGAAACGTCCAGATTTTTAGAAAAAAAATCAAAATTATAAAACATTTTGCAATTTCATTTTGAATCTGCAAAACCGAATGCTTTGAAATCTTGCAGATGTTTTCAGGTTATGATAGGCATGATAAATTTTTAATCAAAATATATTCACTTATCCCCTCAAAAAAATTTTGCCGAATAAGTCCTATCTAAAATGTAGAAAATATGAGGAGTCTGTAATTGTGATTTGTGATTCCTTTAATATTTTTTGGATTTGCTTATACAAGGTGACTCAAAAAAATTAATGAATATGAAAATTTATTTTATTGATTTAATCAGGAACTACAAAATCTAATGCTTTGAAATCTTGGAGATGTTTTAAAGTTATCACATCAAAATGTATTTGCTCATTCCCCCTTATGAATTGATGACGTCACCTCAAAATTTTGCTGAGCAAATCCTATCTTAAAAAAAATTTGATGAGTACAGTATAACCTCGGTAATTCGAATTAATTGAAGAAAAGCTGTGTTCGGATTAGCGATTTGTTCGGATAAGCGATTTTCCCAAAAATATGAAAGGGAAATGAATAACAACTTCATACATTGGTAAAAACAAACTTCAAGAAATAAACTTTAATTTTATTAAACAAAAATAAAGTTTTCTTAAGCAACAATGGATAATCAATATGTATATTCCAAAAAATATTACTTCGTGACAATAAACACGCTGTATTTTTGGAATCAGCACGTCAAGATCTGTCACCCTGATTTTTTTGAGAATTTTTAGACGACATTTTTAAAAATGAAATTTTTCACTATGTGTATACTTCTTATGCAACTTTCAACCCATTTTCAACGATTTTCGAAATTTAAATACTAAATGGTAAATATATATATTTTCTATAGTAAATATATACATATATATGTTTTCTTCTATATTTCAGACCGCAAAGGTCACTTCCGGCCTCATTTCTTCGATAACTCCAACCATTATTCCAGAATCACCCATTGAAATTTCGCAATTTTTAAAAATTTCAAAAAATTCAAATGTCACACCGACTTTTTCGAAAATATTTTTTGAAATCAGCACGTCGGGATCTACATATATCCCTGGGGTTTTTGAAAATTTTTAGACGACTTTTTCAAAAATGAAATTTTTCACTATATATCCCCTTTCTGCAAATTTCGACCCATTTTCGACGATGTTCGACATTTAACTAAATACATTGATAAAATATTGCGTCATTTTTGCATGTCGGTACATGATTGCAGAGTTTTTGTTCTGATTAAAGAGACTTGGACTTCAATCGTGGATTCGGATTATAGATGTTCTACTGTATATGCAGAGTGATTAAAATTGATTGAGAGAGTTGGTACTTCCTGTTTCGGCCGTGAAGTTTGTCAACCTTATGATAGATTTGTTTAAGGTTATGTGGCAATGAATTCAGTGGCGTGACAAGAGAACTTAATAAACCAAATTATTCAAGTTCAGGTTTACCAACTCTTTTAATTAGTTTTGATGACCCTGTACTATACTTGTGATTTGTCACTGCATTAATATGTTTTAGATCTGCTTATACAGGTGACTCAAAAAAAATTAGTAAATCACTCAACTTATTTTATTGAATAAATCAAGAATTGCAAAACTGCGAAACTGAATGCTTTGAAACCTTGCAGGCGTTTTAAAGTGATTGTACGCATGGTAAATTGTTAATCAAAAATAAACACCCAATCAGATTTAGGAATTTAACTCGTTACTATGGAAATTTGCAATTTAACACCTTTTAAATTTAACAAGTTTTTACAAGATTAATAGAAGCAGAATCAGTTTTATCTTGGCAAGTACTAGCCCCGCCCACCCGCCCTGTATTTTTTGGAGTGTATGTCATTTGCCAAAATCAGTTTTATCTTAGCAAGTACTAGTCCCGCCCACCCACCCTCTATTTTCTCAGAGGATTATGTCATTTGTCAAACTTAGTCTTATCTTCGCAAATACCAGCATTATGGCAAATAACGTACCATTTAAGAAAATAGAGGGTGGGTGAACGGGGCTAGTATTGCTAAGATAAGATTTATTTTGGCAAATGACATATCCTCTGAGAAAGTATAGGGCGGGTGGGCGGGGCCAGTACTTGCTAATATAGGACTGATTTTGCCTCTATTAATCTTGTAAAAACTTGTTAAATTTAAAAGGTGTTAAATTGCAAATTTCCATAGTAACGAGTTATATTCCTAAATCTGATTGGGTGTTTATTTTTTGTTTCATTCTACTTCAGGAACGAGGGAAGTTCTGTTGAAACAACTTTCAACCAATTTTTTAGATTTGCTTATACAAGTGACTCAAAAAAATTAATACATCAGTCCAATTTATTTTATTGAATAAATCAAGAATTGCAAAACTGGATGCTTTGAAATCTTGCAGATGTTTTAAAGTTATTGTAAGTATGTAACCAAAATATATCTGTTTATATTGCCCCCAAAAAATCGATGACGTCACCTCAAAATTTTGCCGAATAAATTCTACGTAAAATGTGCACAATATGATGAGTTTTTACTTGTGATTTATCATTGCATTCATATTTTTTTAGATTTGTCCTCTGTTTTCTCAGAGGATATGTCATTTACCAAAATTAGTCTTATCTTAGCAAGAACTAGCCCCGCCCACCCGCCCTCTATTTTCTTAGATGGGATGGCATTTGCCAAAATCAGTTTTACCTTAGCAAGTACCAGCCCCGCCCACCCACCCTATATTTTCTCAGAGGATCATGTCATTTGCCAAAATCAGTCTTATCTTCACAAATACTAGCATTTTGGCAAATGACATACCTTTTTAGAAAATAGAGGGCGGGTGAACGGGGCTAGTACTTGCTAAGATAAGATTTATTTTGGCAAATGACATATCCTCTGAAAAAATAGAGGGCGGGTGGGCGGGGCTAATACTTGTTAAGGTAAGACTGATTTTGCCTCTATCAATCTTGTAAAAACTTGTTAAATTTAAAAGGTGTTAAATTGCAAATTTCCATAGTAACGAGTTAAATTCCTAAATCTGATTGGAGCGAGGGAAGTTCTGTTGGAACAACTTTCGACCAATTTTTTAGATTTGCTTATACAGGGTGACTCAAAAAAAATCAGTCAATTTATTTTAATGAATAAATCAAGAATTGCAAAACTAAATGCTTTGAAATCTTGCAGACGTTTTCAACTCATTGTATTTTTTTTTTTATAAGCATGGTAAATTGTTAGTCAAAATAAATCTATTTATTCCCCCCCAAAAAATTGATGACGTTATCACAAAAGTTTGCCGAATAAATTCTACCCAAAATGTGCTAAATATGATGAGTTTTTACTTGTGATTCACCATTGCATTAATATTTTTTATTGATCAAATTAAGAACGAGTCACCCAATTTTCCCGAAAATGTGAAAATACAAACATCTTTATTTAAAAAGAATTATAATAATGATATTCAGAACATTTTGTCGATTGTAGCTTACTACTTCATTGTTTTGATCCTCTGCTTTGAGGGGACGAACTCATCAAATCCAACTGATTTCTACGTGACATTCTTCCGATGTATAAACATAAACACTTTCAAATTGTCTTTCTTATCGAGGATAACCTAAAGACGTCCAGTAATAGCCATACCATCGGGCAATTTGGTACTTTCATATTTTATCGATATTTCATAACCACTAGACAAGGCCGTAGCTAGGGGGAGCCGCACTTTATGGACAAGGGAAGTTCTGTCGAAGTAATCTTCCACCAATTTTGTTATTATGTTACCAACAAGTCAGCACATGATTGATCATGAACCACTTAGGAGTTTTTATTTTTTTTTTTAGTGTCAATAACGAAAGAGTCTTTCCAACTTCTCTGCAAAGATGGTTCTCGCCGCCCAGTGGACGACTACATGTCGTGTAATTGGGGCCGAGTCCCCTCCGACGCCATCGTCACAACATCAGCATCGTCTTTCGAAAAACGTAAAAAGTATCAACTATTCCTCGAAAAAGCAGCTAAAATATACAACCATGGAAATCGTCACAACACGAGTCAATACGACCAAGATCAAAACCGCTACGACAGCCGCGAACCCCAATACGATCAATTCGGTAACAGGATCAATGACCATCCGGACGACGATCGGTACGGCAGACCCGAATACGATCAGTATGGCAACAGAGTAACCGAGCGGCCCGAATATGATCAGTACGGCAACAGAGTAACCCCTCAACCCGAATACGATCAATACGGCAACAAAGTAACCGCTCGACCCGAATATGATCAATACGGCAATAAAGTAACCGATCGACCCGGGTATGATCAACACGGCAACAGAGATACTGCTCAACCCGAGTATGACCAATACGGCAATAGGGTGTCGCGGTATAAGCGTCAAAACTTCGGTAACTTTGGCGGGCAGGACCGGCCTAGGTATGATTCAAATAACTATAATCAATACGGACGTGATGAGACACCGAATAATGACCCGTATCGGACGAATAACGATAATAGATATGGAAATACGGAACGACCATTTTATCGAGATCCGCACATTTATAACAGACAGGAGTATGGTGTGAACATAGACCCTTATGAAGATGGCAGCTATAACAGAAATAGGGATCAGTTTTACAATAACTCGTTGCCTGATTATTATGATAACGGCAACAGAAATAATACGTTTTTTGAGGTCTTCAGCTTGTTCGAGTCGTCGCCGAGGTACGGAATTCACGGAAATTTGCTATTCCAGGTAATTTTATTTTATTTATCAGTGAACACTTTTTAATAATAAAAAAAAAAAATAATTTACGCAAGTCTCCATCAGTAACACCTTGATTTATAATATTGTATTTTAATTTCTAGGACTCAACTCGAAACATCGTCCCTCTCAATGAAAATCTCCAAACTTACACCAGCTTTCTAGGCAACTCCATGAATGTATTAATGGGAGTAAGAGAATGTCCAGTTAACCGCATGACTCTTTGCGTGACATCAGAAGTCGAAAAAGACAAATGCATCAAAATGAAGGTACACGCAGGAGATATCACAGTTATTAATAATAATGAATGATCGTTAATAATTTTCATAAGTTTCTCAAACAGTCGAATCATGTTGATCAATTGTAATCACTTGTCCGGTGATACGGATAAATGATCGGTAGTCAAGTGAGGCTCTTTTGTGGGACGAAATCAGTCTATATGTTGGAATTCTACAACCACAAACGTTAGAAAGTCTTGCTTGAATGCCGGTCATTCTCGGGTCAGTAATGGGTTTATAGTAATGATAAATTTATTTTTATTTTTAGATTGCGCTTAAAGCCCAACTCCTCAAACCTGACATGGAATGTTACAGAGGACACTCACAAATTAACTGTATGCAGGCAGTCAGGTCCGGACTAGCCGACGTTACTGTTTTAGACGCTAGCGATATCTATACTGCCGGCTTAAACTTCGAATTAATCCCCTTCATTAGTGAAATTTACAATTTAAATGAACCAGAATCTTATGTCGTAGCAGTAGGTAAAGAATCAGACCCAGATACCGAATTAACGTACTTACGAGGCAAATACACTTGCCACGGAGGAATTAACACCGCCGCAGGTTAGTATAGTTCTCATACACCAGCGATACCGCGAAAACTTTTAATTGCTATCAATACACAGTTTAAAAATCTTGAGTGAGAAGTTATAAAATGTAAATAACAACTTGGGGAAATGACCTTAACCTTAAATTTTCGTTACATAAAACTTACTGACCAGTACCTGGTCACTTATGCATACTAAACTACAAAATTAGGCACTTTGGTGTTAACGTATAAGAAGCAGCTGTGTAAATATTCAAAATGTCGCTACTAGGTTGGGTCTACCCTCTCGCCTTCCTCATAAGCAACGGCTGGATCCGCCCCTACGGCTGCAACAGCATTCGCGCCGCCGCCGAGTATTTCTCCAAAAGCTGCGTCCCGGGGGCTCTGAGTACGGAGTACAACACAGGTGTGCCATATGACAACATGTGCGACCTGTGTCATGGTACCAGCTACCGGTACTGTCGCCGAGACGCCTCCGAGGACTATTACGGTCATACGGGAGCGTTCAGGTGCCTGGTGGAAGGCGGCGGTCAGGTGGCGTTCGTTACACACACGACGGTGACGCAGAATACGGGTGGCAAGAGGGAGGAATGGTGGGCTAGGGATAACTTGAACGACGACTTTGAGTTGTTGTGTCCGGATGGTAATTATGGCGGTTTGGAAAAATCTTCGGCTTCACAGATTGATTTCAGGTACAAGGGCGGAAATTCAGGACTACGAGAAGTGTAATTTGGGGAAGGTTAAGGCGAATGCGATTGTGACAAGAGGCGGTTATGGGTACAACGAAACGCATTTGAATGCGTTCATTAATTTGTTCTTGTACGCGCAGACGTTTTATGGGAGGAGGACAACGGATGAGTTTAGGTAGATATAGATGCTGTGTTATGCAGAAGTGGTGGTTTGGTGTAGTTGGGATATTTTTAACGTGGGAAAGCACTCGAAAATTTTACAGAAAAAGAATTTGAGATTTACTTGACAAAATAATAATAATAATAATCATAATTTTGATGAGACGTTAAAAGTTACGATTGGTTTAAGGTTAAAAGTTTTATTGTTAGGTTAAGATTTTTACCTAAATAAACATGCGGGATACAATTAAGGTTGTAAGGTTAACCCTTAAAGGTTTATTTAACAAAAAATTGAATAGTATTCATTGTTTTCAATAGAAAACACAATAACTGTAAGTATACGTCATTTGAAAATATAATCTGGTATGAATTGTAAAATTTGTGCAGACAAAAAAAATACGTGAGGTTAGGAACTGTGGAGCATGAAAATTTATGTTCAATTTAAATTATACAGCAAAGAAAATTACTGAGACTAAAATTTTGAGATAGAAAAAACGCGCATGAGGTGGAAACAAAGAATTGACATGATGTTAAATTATGCCACACTTTATCAACGATTCAAACAAAGAATTTACAAGATGTGAAATTATGCCTTGATCCAAGTGACTGGTTACTTAAAACAATTCGCTTTGAGAGATTATATCGTGGACTGTCCCCAGCTTATCCCAAACAAACACATGATAAATAAACACAAAATGCATCCTTCGTTGCGAGAAAAATGTCTGGGTGATGTGATGATTATTTACCTGGCTAAGGGGAAAAATTGAATCCCTCCGTCCCTCAATCCATGATATTATGAATTCTACCGAACTTTCACGGTGCTTTTCTCAGAGTGGGACAACGTTAGGTTAATTTAACTGCCGTAAATGAACTATTAGCAATCTTGTGTGAAGAATTAAGAAGTGTTATAATGTAACACTAAATATAAGCATCCAGAAATTTTATTTATAACTTGATAAACAAAGGATGAGTCGTGACTAAATGAATTTCATGAAATCTTCTAGCAAGTGCTTTCTCTGAACAAGATTGTGACTGTTAAATTGTGTTAGGATCAGTTAACGATTAAAATCCAAATATGAACTGTGAGTTTACAAACAATAAAACAAACACGTGTTGGCGTCGGTCGAAAATTCGCATATTTCCACTTGGAAAAACAGCAATAATTAGCTACGCTTGTTGGGGAAACGGAGGCGTCGTCGTCGTTACGATTAATTTTCGTTAAACAAAGGCTTCCCGATTTTTTTAAGTACCAAACCAACTAAACTTAATCTAGCTTCCTTACCGCGTGCTTTCACTCACCGAAACAAAACAACAGTGACGCGCCACCCCTCTACAAAGCAAGCACACTTCACTACCAACCCTCTCACTAGACATTCTTCGGATATTCCCTAGGAGAGCTACCAACCGTAAAATAACTAAACTTGCGCATGGTTGCCTATGTTTAACTACTTTCTGAGTACATTTTTAATTCAAATTTGATCACCACACATTCCTAAATAAATCCAAGTGTTTTCCACATTTTTCATGTTTTATGGGTACTTATTGCAGCGCTACATATTTTTTTAATGAACAAAATTTCTCAGTAAAGTCGCAAATGACATTGCTCACATCTTTTATTATATTTAGTATAAGGATTTGCCAAACACAAACGTATCAAACGTTTTAGTCATCAAGATACAAAGTGTCTTTACTTTCCGTCTGACCATTTAGATGTTGATACAAACAGTTATTTATTGTTATGGCTAGATAGCGTACATGACATTGAACAAAAGAGAGACTCTGGTCGTGGGACCAGAGTTAGATTTCACGATTATAGCACATTACATTACGACTTTAACAACCAAAAAAACCCTAAAAATAAAGGTCCTTTTATGGCGAGATTTCAGATTTTCTAAAGTACTGTACCTCATAAAAGCTATACATGGTAGACATAAATCACTGTTACGTCATGCATTGACGTTTAAGCATAATTTCAACATCTGTCGTTTATGTTACGTATTAATTGTTCAAGAAGCATTTGTCGTAAAAGTTGAAATTTTCGCTGATGTAACGTCGAAAATCTCAAATATTAAACAAGAAATCGGCATACCCCAAATTTAACAAAAGGTGGCCCCGAAAGGAGGCGTGAAACACTTGTATGTATAAAAAAAAAAAAAAAATGGAGTGGCTGGGGATTGCTTTTAAGTAGTACTTTTTATACAAAGGAAAAATAGTAGAAACAACCTGTCGCAGTCTAGACGTGCGATTTTTTCATGGCTTGATGATTTTTTACAGTTTCAGTATGTTTTCCTCAAAACCGCCCTTCACGGATCTGATATTCCAAGATGCAACAACTCAGTTGAAGGTCATTCACCCAACCAAACGTCATTATGCCGAATATCTAGGCAGCGACTTCCTGAGGGCTCGAAGGATCGTCGATTGTCACGCAGGAAGTGCTTCAATAAGTGCCTCCATTATCACATTATTGAGCGTCTCTGCTGTTGTTATGATTGTTAGGCTTTAAGTTATTTTAAGCACATTTTTATACGTTTTTATATTTTATCTTTTGATGTGTACAGAATCGTGTCCGTCCATTTAGTGATTTGTTTGGGGTCAAATACCATATGTTAAAGAGATTAATGTAATTTTCCGTCCGCAGTCATATCATTACAGATAACGAAAAAACAGATTTTGTAAGACGTAAATTATAATTTTACAATAAGTCGGATCGTTGTGTTAATACCATTAAGACCACTCCCCGACCCCACACTACTTAAGTGAAAGTCAATTAAAATTCATTTAGCAACCCGCCATGAACTTAAAGTGGTATACACTATTAGTCATCCTCTCGCTCTTTCTCTCTCACACACGTTCCCTTACACTCCTTACGGAAAAGGTGTCACCAGTCTCTCAAGTGGTTTTTATCAGCATGGCAAATAATAGTTACAGAACGGTCTACGCTTTCGCCAGAGAAATGCACCCAAAAACGGTGAAAACGGACATCCAATACGGAACGGCGGGTTTCCGAACAAAGTGAGTGAAAATTCCTAATTCAAAGAAATTGAGGTTATGTAGTGATTTCGTCGTAGGGCCACCAATTTGGGCTATGTTATGTACCGGATGGGGTTGCTGGCGGTGCTGCGCGCCAGATACAAGCGAGGTGAGTGCGATTCGTGTTAAGGGTGCTTTTTTATGGGGGGTTGCAGGCGTCATCGGGGTCATGATCACCGCCTCGCACAACCCTGAGCCGGACAACGGGGTGAAATTGGTCGATCCGAAGGGGGAGATGCTGGACCAAAGCTGGGAAAAATGGGCCACGAAATTTGCCAATGTTGGGTAAGCATCCCCGTATTACAAGGAAGTCGTAAATTTATTAATTAAACATTAAACAAAAATTGTTTTGATTGGGGTTTTTTATGCGGTGGTGGGTGGAGGCCGAAGTGTGTAGATTGTATTGATAAATGGCCGATTAGATTATGTTGTCAGATTTGTTTTTCTAATTCAAGATAAATGTTTGATTTCGAGGAAAGTTCAAATAAATGGGATGACGTTTCGATTGGAATTTCGAGGTCGACCGGCGAAAATCGTGGCGTCACCTGGTGACGAACGGGGCAATGACATAACGTCAGGCGAAATTGGCGCCGGCTTTGAACTATTAATAGTTGTTTCTTGGAAAAATACTCTTAGATGTGTCGTAATTCTAGCCTGAGAAATTTACAACAAGAAACACTTCGTTAATTTTAAAAATAACAAGCTAAAGTTTCACTTAATTAATTACCGCATGAAGATTCATAATATAGTGCGATTATTTCCAGTTTGTGCACACGCGACGAGGAATATCCGGTTTCTAAATTTGTGCCTTCCATAAACTGCTTTTTTCACTTTTTTCGTATTTATTCACACAGCCCATAAAGTTGATTACGTAATTTGGAAAAATAGGAATTATTTATTAAAGTATACTTAAGTCTGAGCATGTAGTATTACTCACAGAACACCTATACTTATTACTTATACTTACATTTTTGAGGTATTTCGTTGATTACCTCAGCAACACGTAATTTTCGTGATATAGTTCTACATTGTTCATGTCAGAACTAGTGATTTTATCTTCACTAAACAGTTGATATCAGATGGTAGAGTTTTGTAGTAGTTGAATTACATTTACTTGAAGCTCGGTTCTGCATAAATATTTAAAACTTTCTTCATTGTAATCTTTTCCTGGTATAAAAGTATTATACAAGTCTCAGCAAGCACAAATTATAAGAGAGTGTAATACATAATCACTTTCTTGTAACAATTATTACATATTCCGTCTGTCTTATCAGTTGTCGATTTTACTGGTCAGATAAGTTTTCAAAACTACGGGACTGATTACTTTCCAATTTTAGGTGCAAAATTTTGATGGCGTCATTTAAAAATTTGGAAAGCAAATGTAAATGTAAAATTAATAAAACTAAATTGAAATTTGTTCGAGAAGTTTATTACTCTTTTATTTTACGAATGCTATCGATTGTATAGTGTATCTACACTTATTATTGTGGTCATTTTCGGAATAATTCTCTGACGTATAAAACGGCTCTTAGAAAAAATTACTAAATAAATATGTCCCCTTTTAGCTGTCTCATCCTGTACATATAAGTTCTTTTGTTTTGTGGAATTAAAGATGTGTTGGATGTCAGTTGAAATTGTTTGGTACTGCTGTACTCTATGGCAGTCATTTTACAGCGACGCAGGCAAATAAGCCGATAAATTGAATTTATGAATGAAAAAAAATTGAAAGTCAAAAGTTTCTTCGCCACTGGAGTACAACCAAACAAATCCAGTCTCTTAAATAAATTATGAAATTTGAATGAATACAGAGTGTCTGGAAAATGGCGAATTAACTCTTAATTAAAAACTTAATTATATGAAAGTAAAATTGGCAACACTGCACGCACCTAATGCGAGAATACCTCCGGATTGCCTTCTGATTTCTTAGTAAGTAAGTGATTTTAAAAAAAAATCATTGATTTAAATCATTTTTGATTTTTTTTTTTTTTGAATTACGAACATATTACATATAATGCAAGTTAACAGTGTTTTAAATGCAATTTAATTCAATAAGTGTACAACTTGCGTACAGGTGCGGACAGTGAATTTCGTCCACACAATTCACGCGAATTCACAAAAATTCACTGTAGTCGGTGCTTTATTGTCATGATGACTGACCTATGTATTGTCAAATTTCATTTAGCTTCGAACCTGCCATCGATTAGTTATTTTAATGAAGGTAAACTAATATCCCCTTTCCAAGACGGTATGTCGCTACACTCTTGGGCTTATCGCGGACTAGTGTTAGTTATCGTATAAAAAAATGTTTGCCCCTTTATGTCAAAATGACAAAAAAAGGTTAGAAAGATCTAAGGGCTAATTTAGAGTTTTTTTCTGTCAAAGAAATTGGGTGGACGAAATTTACCTTTCTGAGAGACCGCGAAGGCGTTGCAATTTACAAGTATAGTCCGATTCTTTTAACTTTGGCAGTGTCTTAAAGTAATAGCAAAAAAGACATCTAGGATAAATAAATAAAATATAAAGCTTTTAAAACTAAATAAAAATAAATTAAAAGTTCAAACTTAAGTCACATTAATTTTTGATTTTTTTCTCACTACTTTTAAAGTTTGAATTATTGTGAGTAACCGAAAAACTAAAAAAACCAAAAAAAAATCAAAAACAATTAAAAACCACAAAAAAAAAATTAAAAAATCGTGTTTTTTTTATCATTGATTATTGATTTTTTTTTAAATCCGATTTTTTCCAACCCTGGTAACGATGGTGACTAAAATCCACATTTTATTTTTTTAAGACAATGACCATAACAACCAGTAGCCATGCATTATTATTAGAGATGTACCGACTGTAGGTCTGGCCGACTAACCGACTAGCCGATTGTTCGGCCAGTAAAAACCGACTAGTCGGCCGACTGTTCGGCTTTGCTAAAACCAGTTTATAAATGCGACAGACAGTGTATTTTTTTTTCTATTTCTCTGACTACCTTAAAAATTTGTTTTATTTTAATAAAAGGTATAACTAAAGTTCCTTTGTTTTCCGAAAAATGTGTTAAATTTGTTTGGATAATTTTAACATTTAATTTTTTTTAGTAACTCAGTATAAAAATAAAGAATAACACAATTTAGGGCCAGTTTATACAATATTTTAACTGAGATTAAGTTGATCGCACATTTAACAAGGCCATTAGCGACGTCTGATTGGCGTAGAGTCGGTCACATGCACGCGGGGTTAAAAATTAAATCGCAATTAAATATTTAATTGAGGTTCTGTAAACCAGGTTTAATTGTTTTATATACTATTTTAATTTTAATAAAAAAAGCCGACCGATCGGCTGTTTAGCCGACCAGTCGCCGACTGCAGCCGACGATGAAAAATGGCCGAATAGTCGGCTTATCCGACCGGTCGGCCACTAGTCGGTACATCCCTAATTATTATTAATAAAACAAGTTGTTATTTTTCATTAATAAATAAACCAAAAAACAAAACCAACAAAAGAAAAATTCATTAAAGCATAACCAATTAAACACTAGAGTTGTTGAAAATTTCTGCCTAGTGACTATAAGTAAGCTCGTAATGTTTCTAAATTTTGATCATTTTTTGTCAATACTACTCTCTGACAAAAGAGAGGGTGTGTGTGGGCGGGACTAGTAGCTACTAGGATAAGACTGATTTTGCCAAATGAGATACCCTCTAAGAAAAGAGAGGGTGGTTGGGCGGGGCTAATACCTGCTAAGATAAGACTGGTTTTTGGCAGATGAGATATCCTCTAAGAAAAGAGGCTGGGTGGGCGGGGCTAATACCTGCTAAGATAAGACTGATTTTGGCAGATGAGATACCCTCTAAGAAAAGAGAGGGTGGGTGGGCGGGGTAATACCTGCTAAGATAAGACTGATTTTGGCAGATGAGATGCCCTCTAAGAAAAGAGAGGGTGGGTGGGAGGGGCTAATACCTGCTAAGATAAGACTGATTTTGGCAGATGAGATACCCTCTAAGAAAAGAGAGGGTGGGTGGGCGGGGTAATACCTGCTAAGATAAGACTGATTTTGGCAGATGAGATGCCCTCTAAGAAAAGAGAGGGTGGGTGGGTGGGGCTAGTACCTGCTAAGATAAGACTTATTTTGGAAAATGACATACCCGCCAAGGAAAGAGAGGGTGGGTGGGCGGGGCTAATACCTGCTGAGATTAAACTGATTTTGGCAAAGGAGATATTCTCTAAAAAAAGAGAAGGTGAGCGGATGGGGCTAGTACCTGCTAAGATAAGACTGATTTAAACAAATGACGTATCCTTTAAGTACTTTAATTAAATTATTGTAAAAAAAGACACTAGGGACTCTAAAGCAATTTCAAATTCTTTCCAAACAGGAATACCTAGAACCTCAAGATTGTTAAATTTTTCAAAAAAAAAAACGTGGTCCCAAAATTAACTCAAAAACAGGTCAGGTCAGAATTTGACAAAGATAGAACACAAAAAAAAATCTCCATGGCTCCCAAAATAATACACCATGGATACCCAAGAGCAGGGTTGGCCTGATTTAAATCGGGATTTTTTTTTTAATTACGAACATACAATTTTTTTCGTCAGCTGCAGTTTACATTTGCCGACCGAAGCACGATTCAAACATGACAGAGCCGCATTTTTGTGATTTGTGAATGTTTGAAAATACGCAGAAAATGAAAATTACAACAATGCCCAGCCCAAACCGCTAATGATAGAAAGTTGAAATTTGGAGAGAATGTTCATTTAGTACTGGAGGCATCGTTTAAAAAGGGATTTCTCGAAATTCATCCCCTAGGGGGGTTAAAAAGGGGTGATAAAATTTGTTTAGAACCAATATACTGTAAATTTAGACCGTTACGTGAAACCTGGTACATTTTAATTCCCTTCAATACAAATAAGGAAATACGTATTTAAGCATTTTCGGAGATTCGACCCCAAAGGGGGTGAAAAGTGGTATCTAAATTTGGGCGGCTAAGTTTGTATAGGAACAATATTTCTATTATAAATTAAAATTTTTACGTGAAACTTGGTATTAATGTTCTTCAGCACAAATAATGAAACCGGTGTTTAAGCATTTTCTAAAATTCAACCCCAAAGGGAGTGAAATGTGGAGGCTAAGTTTGTATGGGAAAATATTTCTATTGTACCTATATTTACATTTTTACGTGAAACTTGGTAATAATGCTCTTCAACACAAGTAATGAAACACGTATTGGAATATTTTCCGAGATTCAACCCCTAAGGGGGTAAAAAAGGGTGTGGCTAAGTTTGTATGAGAAAAATATTTTTATGGTGATGTTTACTTAAAACTTGGTATGAATGCTCTTCAGCACAAATAATAAAACACGTATTTAAGCATTTTTCCAGATTCAATCCCTAAGAGGCTGAAATATGGTGGCTAGATTTGTGTGGGAATATTTCTATTGTAAATTTAAATTTTTACTACTCTTCAACACAAAAAATGAAACACGTATTTCAGATTGTTTCGAGAATTCACCCCTAAGAAAATGAAAGGGGGTGACAAAGTTTTTATGAGCAAACATTTTTTATGTCGATTTTTACTGGAAATTGTATTAATGTCCTTCAACACATTTTTTACTTGAAGGTTGATAATAATGCTCTTCAACACAACGAATCGTCTACGCGAGTAAATAAAAATAAATTAAAAGTTCAAGCTTAAGTGACATAATTTTTTATTTTTTTCTTACTACTTTTAAAGTTTAAATTATTGTGGGTAACCGAAAAACTAAAAAAATAAAAAATCAAAAACAATAAAAAAACCGGATTAATCCAAAAAAAGTCAAAAAAATCGTGAAAAAAAATATCATTGATTTTTGATATTTTTTTTAAATCGGATTTTTTCCAACCTTGCCCAAGAGTCTCCCGAAACAAAAAAAATATTGCGGCATTCAAGACTTTTTCAATTCGTAAAAAATAAAACACTAAAAACTCAAAACATGTTTTCAAATTCATCCAGAAACAAAACACCAGATTCCTTTAAATTTATCCGAAAATAAAAGACCAAGGGACCTAGAATTAACTGGTACTCACTGCTGTCAAATGAAATTTTATCAAACTATTACAAAATTAACACAACCATATCTTACATTCTAACTGAAATGGTAATTAAACATGGTCATGGACGAGAGAAATATTAACTAAAAGTTTTATTACTAGTTATTGTGATAATTAATGTGCTATGTAGTTTGTTAAACGTAGCAAAAGAACCAATTTTAAAATCATTATAACTCCACCGAAATGTGAGAAGGAATTTTTTACTATTTTTTCCAGATACTCGGTATATATTTTTTTATGATGACCCGTATAGATTAAAGTGAAAATTGATTGTTAGTAGGGAGACAATATATCTATTTGAATAAATACAGTGTAATACTAATATCAGTAGTAGTGTATTTCCAAAATTTCAGGAAAATAAAGTAAGCCGTTTTTGATTTTTTTTTTTGTTTGATAAATTGTTAAGTTCAATAATTATGTTGAGTCACGCTGTATGAGTTATGTATTTAAGCTATTATAAAAAAGTATTCATGCACACCACAAGTGTGGACTTTGTTAAATTATAAAATCCTGTTACAGATTTTTCATTTTACTATGTATGCAAAATTTTGAGATGACGTCATTAGTTATGGGTATGACGACAAATTTTTGATCAATCCAATAGTTTCGAAAATTGCTTAATACAATTAACCGTTCGCCGGATGAACCCGATTACGACACTTTCCTAGCTTACATCCAGGAAGTAAAAAAAGAAACTGTTAACTATGCTTTTAATTAAGTAAAGTAAATAATTAAAATCAAACAATGAAGATTAAAACTAACTTTTATTTTACAAGAACACTAATAAAGGCCTTGGATAAGTAAGGGCCTCAGATTCTAGGGTGCAGTAAAGTTTCGTTTCATCGTGTTATAGAGGTTCAAATTTTAATTAAGTTCGTGTTTTGTTCACGCTTCAGAGGACGGAAAAAGTAACATCGAAACTCTTTAGATAAATTTTTGCGGGCACTAATGGAAAAAACTGAACTCTTTTAAATGCAGATCGTAATTTTCATATAAAATGTACTCGATGTGCACAACATGGTTCTACAAAAATTCTAATTATTGCTTTCCCATTTTTCCTCAATCACATCAGCTTATCTGTTCTAGTTATATCCTTTATGGGTTCAACTTGTTTGTTTTGATGGTAGTAACCTAGTAGGCGTAAGATTTATATTAAAATCACCAAACAGATGCAATGAAAGTCGCATAAGCAGTTCTAGTATAATTTTACTTTTGTTTCTGATTTCCACTGTACATTTTCTGTGTTCGGAGGTCGTAAGATTTCCTTTTTATGTAACAAAACTATATCACCTATTAATTGTACATTTTAGTGATGACCAACTTGAAGAGACCATCAACGAAATAATAAAGGAATACGACATTCCCATGACCGATCGAGTAGAAATAGTCGTGGGAAAAGACACTAGACCAAGTAGTCCTAGTCTCGCCAAGTCAGTAATGGACGGTGTTTTAGCCCTAGCCGGGAAACCCATAGACTACGGCATAGTAACGACTCCGCAATTACACTATTTCGTCGTCTGCAAAAACACAAATCGACAATATGGCGAACCGACTGAAGACGGCTACTACAAAAAACTGACTGGCGCCTTTAAAAAACTCCGCGGGGAAACCTACACCAACGGAAATTACAAAAATCGATTACTATATGACGGAGCGAACGGCGTGGGAGCCAAGAAAATCAAGTACTTTCAAGAGTTGCTGGGGAACACCTTAAAAATCGAGATGTTTAACGATGCTATTATTGGTTCCGGCAAGCTGAACTATATGGTAGATAAGTAGCTCGCTTCGCTCGCTCTTTTTAACGTTACTTTTCAGTGCGGTGCTGATTATGTCAAGTCTCAACAAAAATTCCCGACAGGCGTCCCCGTCGAACCCAACGTACGTTGCTGTTCGGTGGACGGCGATGCTGACCGACTCATTTATTATTACATGGACGAAAATAATGGCTTCCACTTAATGGACGGCGACCGAATGGCAACTTTAATCGCTGGTTACTTGAAAGAAGTATTAGAAGAAACCGGAATTGATCTCAATTTAGGTTTAGTTCAAACTGCGTACGCGAATGGCGCTTCGACTGATTACATCGCTAAAAAGTTACAAGTGCCGGTGGCGTGCGTTTCCACTGGCGTTAAGCATTTGCATCATAAGGCACTAGATTACGACATAGGCGTCTATTTCGAAGCAAATGGACACGGAACTATCATTTTCAGCACAAACGCCAAAGAAAAACTGAGAGAGGCAGCAAAAAATAACACGTAAGTACGCGAGAAACAATATTATGCATACAATGAAAAATACGATTGACGTTGCAGTCGTTATAAATGATAATAATAATAGTATGCCTAGTGATAAACATTTTACGAAGTGTTTCACACGACCTTAACACTTCGTTCCGGTAATTAACATGTTCTATGTAGAATTTCAGATGAACGCCGCCTGGCGGCTGAGGCTCTACTTAACCTCATCGACCTAATTAACGAGACTGTAGGTGACGCTATATCGGACATGCTCCTGATAGAGACAATCCTTCACGCCAAAGGCTGGGACATCCAGCAGTGGGAAGACGCTTACACCGACCTCCCGAACAGACTGATGAAGGTGACCGTGCAAGATCGAAACGTCATCACCACGACTGACGCCGAAAGGGTTTGCGTTACTCCTGAAGGTTTGCAAGCAGAAATAGACTCTGCTGCCGCTAAATATAAAAAAGGGAGGTCTTTCGTACGACCTTCGGGAACCGAAGACGTGGTAAGAGTGTACGCGGAGGCAGCTACCAGGGAGGAAGCGGATGAATTGGCTGTGGAAGTGGCTAAAAAAGTACACGAATTAGCCGGAGGTACCGGAAATCCACCGGAATTGAATTAAAAGTGCAATAAATATATAAGCAACGATTTGTTACCTTTGTATTTATTTTGTTATATATGATATTCTGTTGTATCCAGGAGCGGGCTCCGTTTTTCTTCTGGGTGCACATTTGTTGTGCCATCGTACTCTTGCCTAAACAGGGTGTTTTTAATGTCGAGTCAATACGTACCCTTTCAATGGCACTATCACTTGAGACGGTGTGAATATAAGTCCGCACACTTCTTGCCTTAGAGGCTGGGCCTCTTTTTATGTTGTACAAATTTTTTAAATATAGTGGCTTTATGACTACGTCTTGTTTACAACAATGCCCTTAGTGTACTTAATTAAATCACGAATTATGTGGCCATTTCGTACCCAATTGTATTAGAATTGTAATCATTCCATTATATGTGTACGTTGTATTCAGAGGTTGGGTATATTGGTTGCATTTTTAAGACACGTAACTGCCATCAACATCAAAACTAACGGCTTAAGTTATTTTAATTATTTATACTTTTAATAAAAGGTTTGTGTACAGTGTAAGTATTTTTAATCCCCCTACCAGAGTGGGAAAAATCATAACATTTCGTATAAACAAGAATCCACTAAGTGCCTTAAGTTTTTCACCTGCATTGCTTCGGGACCATAGTGAGATGAACAACTCCTACAGATAAGTGTTTACAAGACTTCTAAATAGACTGTATCAGATGCGAATGGTTCAATTTTTTTCATTACAATATTTTCTAAGCACAGTACAACTAGAAGCGCAGTGATCACGTGAAAATCGCATGAACAACCTGCGCAAAAAGTCTGTTGAATCGATATCCACTCATTATATTCAACACAATAGCTGTACATGAACTACAAGAAATTCCGACTTATTCGGTGCTATTGGTCCGTTAACTTTATTACTTACCTAGAAAAATACAAGCAGAATGAATACTAGCCTCGATGAAAACCGATTGTAGTTCATGCGTATTTTTATTGCTACATCTGTTCGGCCATTCTAACATAATGTAAGTTTTTTTCTTCTCCCGAAACAACATATGATACCAAGATGGCTGTGACAAATTTGTTGGCTAGAATCACACTGGATATTCCTAGAAGTCTGTCACTCGCTACACTCATACTAAATTATTTCACTCGTGTGTGGCGGTTTTTAGTCGCCCTTAATTTTACCTATATTTTCTGCAATCACTATTTTTGCATAGTAATAAAATTTTAATTTATATATGGATGTAACTCGTTCGAGTATCACGCGCCTAATTAAATGAGATGAAACTATAGAATTGTAATGTTATACAGAAACATAATGTGCACTAAACTATAGCAGCAAGTTTTTAATGAACCATTCGATATTCTCGTAAACAGTCTTTAATTACACCGGAAAAGAGCGGCGAGCCTCTCATGTACACCGAAATGGAGCTAATGGTCGTTATTTGTGATTTTGGGGGGTTTAAAATAAGGAAAACTGTTTTACAATTCAATCTTTAATCATACCTCATTGTGAGAGTTACTTTTACATAAATATCCAACGTGGTTATTAACTTAAAAATAAGGGTTTGTTTCAGAAACCCTCCGAAGAAAAGAAAAACTATTGTAAAAACTATAGCGTATGTAGTTAATTATAAATGAAGACAAAACCATATTACACAACTGTATTTAACAATTAACTTATTTTCGCAACTTGCCTGCAATATAATAAGAGCATTTCACACACTGATTACATGACAATGGAAATAAAAATCGACAATTAAGTTGGCAGTTGCTCCATGGCGCAGCTACATAGAAAAAGACGCATAGTCCATTAACACAACTAAAAAGAAACTTGAACTGACTATACATCTTTCGCTAAAGAACATACATAACCACAAACAACAAATTAGACCAAAGTAAATCTTACACAGCCTGCGATTAAAATACAGTATAGTCTAAAACACTATACTTGATGTTTATTATATTATCTCCGAAGAATGTGCATCGATCCGATTTACTAGTGGCGAAATTCTTGTCCGGGTTACTCAAATCCGAACGTAAGCGACTTCTGGAACAGCTAGTACTTGCGACTCGAAAAAAATATACCGGGCAGTCGCTGCTATCAGTTCTTACTCATTATGATTAAACAAAAAATAATACATAAACACCATTATAAAATGTACAAGCCGCACAGTAAAACGAAGATAAAATAATGAAATGAATCTAACAAATTAATGATCACATTTAACGACGTTTTACCGTGCAGCGCCTGAATGTGTAGGCTCGCCGAGTTCCGTGTATTTCCCTTTTTTGTTCAATAGTGACGTACGGTACTCACTGTTTTTTTGAATATTTTTACAAACTACTCTTAACATATTAAATAATACAGCCAAACTTGCACTCGTTCCACACTCATCACACTTACATAATCGAGGGGAGCGACCTATTTGTGAGTGGTCCGACCCCTTAAATTTTTTCTTTTTTATTTTATATATTTTTATACAATTTCCCATTAACGGCGGGTAAAGAAAAATTAATTCGTGTATGCTCACTTACAATAAAAGTTTAATTTTTGTTTTATATAAAATTGTCAGCGTCTCCATCAAGACAACCTCAATTTTTTTGAATTTTTGCATTTTTTTGTGACCAACTATTTGCGAAGTCGGTTAGACCCAGTCGGTGGTGGGGGCGTGTTAACGGTTGCCTAGAAGAAAACAACTTGTTACTTCAAAACTAAAGATATCCGGAAACATTCAACAATTAAAAAACGATCCGTGATTGGTTAGAAAAATATACAACATGCAATGACTAGATGTTAGCTTTCATCCCAGGTTAGTCCCAACTTACCAAAGCTGAATTAATTAAAAAAGGTAAATAAATAAAAATAATAATAATTAAAAAAAAAAAAACACACGAAAGGATGAAAACTAACAGTGCTTTTTAAGAGAGCGTTGATCCTTTATAGAAGCTTCGTGACAACTGGCTGACCTGCAATGAAAATGTTGTCGTTTTTAATTACTAGAGTAAAAAAATCACTGTTAGTATGGGTTTGAAGCTTAGCAGAGCTACTGGACGCGCCCGAACTGATCACGTGACTATGATAAAATAAAGAAGTGACATGAGTGCGATTTCTCTAATGCACGAAATAAACAAAAAACAAAAATTCTAGAGGGGGAAAATCGCACCTGGACATAAATCGACGACTAGAAAAAGCTCAACACTTACTTCGGACGATGGAAACGACTTTTGAAAAAAAAATCAACACATGAAAGAAAAAACACAAAGAGACACAACAATTTTATGTAAATATGTAAAAAAATAAACAAAATTACAGGGCAAAGTAAAAAAAATATTAACGAAAACAACATTCTCAGTGACCTTTAAAGACTTTAGCAATATTTGCAGTAGAAGGGTGGGTTTGTTTATAGTGAGCTGTACCTTTAGCAGAATTCTGCTTGTTCTTTTCGTCATCTTTTTTGTCACGGTTCGCTGAAAAGAGGGTTACTATAAGATATTAACTATTCAAAATGCGCTATACTCTAATGGACACCGCCGAAATAACGATCGATGTACGCATTATTTTTGTTCTACATTGTAGCCGCCGCACCGATCGTGATTTCGACGCTCTAATTTACTCACTCTCAAACTGCGGTTTCCATTTACTCACCTGTTTGTTGAGATATAACGACCCGCGATGTCTGTGGTTGGGCCGACGTTTCGGCCACCGTGCCACCTGTAGCTGCCGCTTTCTGTTTCAGCATGGTCCAGTCGAACGTGTAGTCGTACTGATGGTTCAACGTGCGGAACAGAATACGAAACAATTGTCTTAGGTACATATAATCGGGGGCTTCTTCGAAACGAAGACCGCGACAGTAGTTGAGGTACATGGAGAACTCCGCCGGGAAACCCTACAACAAAAAAAATCAAGGTAATACGGCTAACACTTCTTCAGTATGTCTAGACGACGTAAACAATGTAGACCATGCGCCAAGGCGTTACCAACGCAACGAAAAATAAACCAATAAATTAATGGCAGCGTAACTTCTTATCAACATTAAAGACGTTTATTTATGTCAGTTATCGACTTCTTTCAGATCTTCATGACGTTTAGCAAAAGTATAATGCAACTAAATCGGAATATGCAATTAGACTAACCTGTTTTTATTCATGCGTGGAAAATTAATCGTGTATTGTTTCTGAAGTATTAAAAATTATATATAATGCAGCCAAACTTATTAAAAACGAATCACCAATACGGGATAGCTCAGTGAAGAAACACAGTGTAAGATAGAATAGAATTTAGTATAAATTGACAGAAAATCTAAGCCTTAGACACTGATAAATGGCTTTTAATTTTGTCATAACTTTCCCAAACTACGCGTCAGACTGTTACTAAGCAACGGGCTTTCCAAGAGTATGATATAATCATTTTGTAATTATCAAAGCGCTTCAGGTTTTCTTGTCGTGGATGGCACGTAGGTGAAGGCTGTGTGTTAAGTTAACTTCGTCCTTAGTCGCTATTGTGATAGTGCACGCCACAAAATAATCGAATTGTTTAGACAGGAAGAATTAATGTTTTGAAACAATCGATATTACATCAAGAAACTAGGACAGCGCCAAGAAAACGTTTCAATTAATTTTAAAAGGTTAACTTTTTATTTCAATAGTTTTCACATCTTGAAAACCTAATTCGGCATCTGATTCAGAAAATCACTCGTTTTTCATTTCCCGGGCGTAAGCTAAGGAAGTATTGTAATCAAATCCATCGGGAGACCCGCTACTCGTATATTTCTCGGCGTTTCATGAATACGAAAATATAGATCAGGTCTCTCGTTTCCGTCTGTTCGCGTCTGTCGATTTTTATTACACAGATAATCTTCTAAACTACCGCACCGATTGCTGTCAAATTTTGTACGTATAGAGGAATACTCATGTATACTCCTCCACAGAGCTGTTCAAAGTACTCAAAAAAAGTACTTGAAGTACCAAGTACAAAGTACTACTTGAAATAGTGTTCAAGTAAAGTACCAAGTACTTACTCTCAGCAAGAGTATTTCAAGTATCAAGTACTTTTCAGATGTACTTGAAGTACAAGCCAAGTACATTACTTCAAGTACTTACGAGTACTTGAAGTACTGGAGGTATACTTCAAGTACTTACAAATACTTGAAGTACTGAAAATGCTTCAAGTACTTTCTAATTATTTGAAATACTGTAGAATTAGATAACTTTTCCTGTTTTTTTAAAAAAGCTTAATATATTTTAGAACTGAATTTTTTAATACTCAGAATTTAAGTATACAATAATACATATTTCGCCACATAAAAAATTGCATAAGCATCAACTTAAATGCAGAATGGTAGCTCACTTATTAATAATACTATGTTATTTATAAATAATATTCTTTTGAAATACTTTTACATCTTTCTGTTGACACAATGCCTTCGACAAAATTAACGTCTATTTCCAATTTAAAATTTAAAATAAAATACATGACGGCGTTGTCTATGTATGCTTACTATTAATTTATAACAAAAACATCGGCGCTGTATGGTATTTTCTCAGGCTTCTGTTGCCTTTTTTTAATATTTTGAATTTTGGTTCACCACCAAAACGTTCTGATTTTTTAATAAAGTTGTGTTAAAAATATATGAATTTTATGAACCGGTTCCGTGTTTAAGTTTGTGGGCAGTTTACAGCACCCTTAATCATTACCCACTGTGAAAGTGCACAGGGCCGGATTTCTGAAAGTGAAATTTTTCAGAAAAAAATTTTAAGAGCAGTGCGATACATATACATGCTCGTGACATAAAAATGTTTAAGTCACTATGTTGCATTTTCAAAAAAAAATGTATGAATTTTTTAAATAAAAAATAAAATGCCTAAAACGAGAGTCCATTTTCAGCGAAAACTATAACTCTTGAAAAATATCAAGGTGATCAAAGTAATTAGTCGTTTTTTACTTTTGCGGTTACCAAAAATGCTGAGAATTTTCTTGGAATGAATGCCCCATATTCCTGAATATATCTATCTACCACTTACGTATTTACTATTCTAAAAATGATTAAATTAACCTAAATACTACAGTGACTAAATAGTAAACACTAATCACTACAATGTTTGTCTAACTAAGTATGCAACTTTACACTGACAAATCACAAATAATAGGTTCGTAATGCTGTTCCGTCCATTTATACAAAATTTTGTTCGTCTAATGCCACAATACTTTCAAAATTTTCCTTTACATTTTCGATTGGCTTATTTTTTATTTTTACCTGAAAACCCAAAGAAGATGACATTAGTAACTGATAACTACAATGACTTCAGGGAATGCCTAACAACGGCTTTTGCGAAAATTCAGGTAAATATGTACTAAATTTATTATTGTTAAAATATGTCGTAGGGGTGTATTTATCTAGGCAATTATACTAACTAATCGCGAATTTCATTAACTTTGTATTTTTTTTATAATGTGAATATGTGTTTTGTTCCATTTACGGAAGGGGCCACTGACCCTTTTGGGTATCTTTACCTGATATTGTAAATACAAATGTAAATTCAGTACTTCTGTAACCGTCCTGTATTTAAACATCGAATCCGAACGCTGTCTATTATTTCACACACAACAAAACAAAGGTCCTTCGAGCAATATCAAAGTACAATTCGGTACTCATCAAAACCATACAATCATGGTCGTATCAACTGGATTACAAAAAACATTGGTACTACGAGCCGAGTTTCACAAAACATATTTCATTTTGAACAATATTGGGTTTATGTAATAAGCGATGCAATGCAAAACGTAAAGTTGTTGTACGGTAATAAATAAAATCCGCACAGGAAAGATAAATGACACTAATTAGTGTGACTTTTAAAATCATTGTTTTTCTGCATTACGTCTTTTTAAATTGTTGGTGTTCAAATAATTCACACAATTTAACAGATTATTTGAAACTGTAATGTGAGAAAATATAAGTAGTAATAACAAACTAAGTTTATATGGCTGAACCATGTATAAACAAAAAAAGAAAATTTGGTAAAAAACGAGTGTCTAACATGATAAAGAAAATTAAACTGCAAAATATTTAACATAAAATTGTGTTTAAATTCTAGGAGGGAGAGGCAAATATGAAAGTCTGTACCTGCCATCAGCTATTGCTATTATAATAAAAGGGATAATCCCCTGCCGAGTTCTCCGCCCTGACCAGGCGGGGTTAAGAAACTAATGAAAGAATAAATATCTTTTTGAACGAGTACTGAATCATTTCTCAAATATTTTCAAATCCGACCTTGCACTTTAGCAGGTACGTCAACAAACCCGATTCCCTTTGGGGTAAAAGACAAAATTCATATATTCACAACTTTACATCGCTGAAAATTTTACATCCACTCTCAAATGACATATTTATGACATTAATTTTCTTACCTACCTATCTATCGACATTATGCAAGTACCTATGAAATGTACGTCATATTGTGGATAAGATATCCACAATCACAGATCAAAATATAACCTCACAGGAAACAAACACGATTTTACTATAAAAATACATCTAATCAAATAATTGAATTAATAACTTCAAGTATTTAACAGACCCTATTTTGAGATGTGAAAACTTGGTAAAATAGAGACTAAAGTATTTGAAATTTCCACTTTCATACTTCAAGTAATTCAAGAGTATTTAAAATACTGAGTGAAGTACTTGGAGTAAAGTACTTGGCAAAATCAAGTACTAAACTCAAGTACATTTTAGAAATACTTCAAGTACCAAGTACCAAGTACCTAAATATAAAAGTACTTCAAGTAAAGTACTTGAAGTACTTAAAGTACTTGAAGTATTACTTCAAGTACTTTTACTTGAAGTACTGAACAGCTCTGCTCCTCCACTTGTAGTTTATGAATCCGTGTTGAGTTTTTACTCCAAGCATCCAGATTAAAAATGTGCAAAATATAATCGAGTCTACACCTAATTGATCATTCCATTCATATTAGTTAGAATTACTTATACAGGAGGTGGCTAAAAAAAATTAATGAATGAGCCAATTTATTTTATTGATTAAATCAGCAACAGCTCACTCCATTTTCACTAAAATTTGAAAATATTATGCTGTATTACGCTGTACCTATCCAAATTGATACGTGTCCTTGCAATTTTATCATTTTTCGAAAAAGCTGGATATGTTTTTTATTCTCCAGGGGCGAGGGAAGTTCTCTCGAAATAACCTTCGACCAATTTTATTGTTTTCACTATAATTTCAGCAAACACGTTTCTGGTAACTTTCCAAAGCAAACAGTTGTACTTGAGAGGGTTGTGACAAAATTAGTTACCGATCAATAGCTGATTTTTTTTGCTAACAAAATTTACAGGACTAGTCAATACGACAAACAAAACACCTATTGGATTTTACTTGTCGACATGTCTGTGTTCCCAACAAATTTCGAGAACAGCAAAAGATAAGAGATAAACCGTTATCAGCAACAAATTCTACTATTCAACTAATGGCACAGCGATTGTTTTATAACTTTCCGTCGATATGAAAGTGAACCAAAAACAGAGTTAACATTATTGGACTAAGTTATTTGGATGTATGAAGTAGAATCAAACAAATCAAATTTATTGGCAAATTATAAAATTTGATTTCGCCTTTTTTACGATAACCTCCACATTTCACTCGCTTTTTTGGAGTCACTTGTATTTAGCCTTTTTTTTTTCTTAATATACATAGCCATATTTCACAATAAGAAACTTAAAATATTTTCCATTTTAAACATATGTATTTTAAGTTTGATGTTGTGAAAAAAGAAGTCTACACATATTAAAACAAAAAGCCAAAATGTAAGCCCGCCCACCCCCCCTATCTCAATTGTGATGATTTTTTTTATTCGCCGTTAACCGTGGGGGCGGAG